AGAGAGAGAGAGAGAGAAGATAAATAAATAGATAAGTGGAGATGTAAGTGAACGAATAGATGATTGGATAGATCGATATAGATGAAAAGATCATTCCATAAACATACTGAGCATACTAGAACATTGGAATGGGGAATATAGGGGTTGTATAATGTGTTTGGATTCAAAAAAAGTGTTAAAAGTACTTACATATTTCACAATGGTCTCCTGAGTAAGATGGATCGCATTTGCATCGGTAACTATTCGCCATGTCTATGCACTGAGCGTTTGGCATGCATGGATTAGACAGGCATTCATCGATGTCGATTTCACAAGTAGTGCCATTAAAACCTTCTCCGCACAAGCAAAGAAATTCAGACGATGATTTGTTAGCTTTGCATGTACCTCCGTTCAGGCAGGGGTACGACGAACAAATATCTGTCATGTTTTCGCAGTTTTTTCCGTAGAATCGTTCTAAACATTTGCACTCATACCCATGTGTCAAATCAACGCATGTCCCATTATTAATACATGGATTTGGTAAACAGCTATCGATTTCTGCTTCACAGTAAGTTCCATTGTAGCCTTGGGAACAAAGACATGTGTATCCAAGGATGTGGTCAACACAAGTAGCATTGTTTAAACAGGAATTTTGTACGCAATCATCAATGTCCAGCTCACAGAACCTCCCTGTATAGCCGTCAGGGCATGAACAAGTAAAATTGTTGACAACATCATGGCAGGTTCCGTTGTTGAAACAAGGTTTCGCTAAACACTCGTCTGTCTCAGCCTCGCAGTATTTTCCATAGTACCCGCTTGTACAGTCACAATAAAAACCTCTCAGAGAAGAGACGCAAAGTCCATTCTGACTACAGTTGGCATCTATGCAATAGTCAATGCGGTGTTCACAGTGAAGACCATCAAATCCCACGGGACATAAACAAGAGTAGTTGGCAATAAGGTCTGAGCAGGTACCATTATTTACACAAGGTGCGACTTTACAGTCATCGATATTTTCCTCGCACTGCGTACCATTGAAGCCAGTTTGACAAATACATACAAAGCCATTGATCTGCAGGGAACAATTTAGACAGAACAATGTGAAAACTGAGATCAAGTTCATTTGAACTGAATGTAATAGTTCGATAGGAGGATTTACTTACATAATATGCTTTTAATTATATGTAACTACGAAAGAGGAAACGTACATTAACAAGCATGTATTTTGCATATTATATGTAAACTATAAAAAGGAGAAATAATTCGACAACAAAATAACGATCCAAATTTTTTTTTATAATGCTACGAAATAAAGCAGAGATCCTCGAATGTTCATTGGTCGAGAGCCATCGAGCATGTCCATATAGTATAGAAAATGAAGTTAGCCACAGCCCGACAAGCAAACAATCGAGTGAGTGACCGCATTTTCTCTTAATCATGATAACGGAAGCATTGCCCACTTACAATTTATGAGTAAAAAGTGACTGCGAACTAAACGAGGCATAATTTAATTGAGTAATTATTGGCTACCTGATCACGGCATGATCCACCATACAAACAGGGGAAAGACGCACATTCATCAATTTCTAATTCACAGCGATCACCCATGTACCCAGGCGCACAGTCACAACTGCAGCTGTTTATTCCGTCCATGCACGTAGAGCCATTCACGCACAAGTTTTGCTCGCAGTCGTCAACGTTGACTTCACAGTTAGTTCCACTAAAGCCATCAAGACAACTACAGGTGTAATTGTCCACTTTGTCAATGCAACTAGCATTGTTTCGACAAGGAAAATCGGCACAATCGTCTATATTTACACTACAGTTTGTACCTGTGTAGCCACTCCTACAGGCGCAACGGTAGCCATTTATCAAATCGGTACAGACTCCATCATTGACGCATGGATGTTTCTTACAGTCATCGATATCGATTTCACAATTTATACCAACGAAGCCATCGAGACATGCGCAAGTATATTCATTTACGCCGTCAAAGCAAGTGCTATTGTTTATACAGGGGTTAATTCTACATTCATCAACATTCAAATGGCACTGCTTTCCCTCAAAGCCATCTGCACACTGGCATGTGAAAGAAGAGACGCCGTCAAAGCATGAACCGTTGTTGTAGCAGGGAATTGAAGCACAGAAGTCGATATCAACGTTGCAGATCTTTCCAGTGAAACCGGGTGAACATAGGCACGTAAAACCGTTTATGCCATCTTGACATAATCCATTGTTTGAACAAGGGTTTGTAGCACATTCGTCAATATTGTTTTCACACTGCAACCCATCAAAACCGTCTCGGCAGTCGCAGTAATAGCGATTAATCATATCCACGCAGGTCGCTTCATTTTGACAAGGTTTGGAAGCACATTCGTCCAAATCCACCTCGCAGTTTTTCCCAGAGAATCCGGCTTTACAGATGCAGAGATATCCGTTAACCTGATCAACACAGGAGGCGTTGTTCCTACATTCGACTTTATCACAGTCATCAATGTTGTGCTCACAAAATGTTCCATTGAAACCAAGAGGGCAGACGCAGTGATAGCTATTTATTGCATCGACACATTTCCCTCCATTTTGGCAAGAGTTATTTACACAGTCGTCCACATTTTCCTCGCAGTTATTCCCTCGATACCCTTCTAAGCAGGTACATTCGTAGCTGTTTACTTTATCTTTGCAAGTGGCTCCATTCTGACATGGGGATCGACGACACTCATCAACATCAATATCACAGAGTCTTCCAGTGTACCCAGGATCACACTGACATTCGTATGATCCAGGAAGATTTTTGCATGAGGCATTATTAGCACACGGCGACAAAACACATTCGTTAACATCCTCTTCACAGTTGTGGCCTTGGAAACCTTGTTTGCATGAGCAGGTGTAGTTGTTGATCAAGTCATAACAGGTGCCATTATTAAAACAGGGTTGGTCTTGGCAGTCGTCAATGTCGGTCTCACACTGCTTTCCTGTGAAACCCGTTCCACATACGCAAAAGAAGTCATGGATGAGGTCTGTACATGAGGAATTGTGTTGGCATGGGTTGGATTTGCACTCGTCGATTTCTTAAAAAAAAAAACAGTACAAAATAGCAATAAGAAATAAACAAATTGTAATCTAAACCAGAGCAATAATTATGTTGCCGCGAACGGCGATAAACTATATAAAATAAAACTATTTTACCAAAATACTTTCACGAAGGCTTCGAAAAACCTCACCCTAAACTTTACAATGCTTACCGCGACATTAACACCATTAATTCGTAAAAATTGAACGATGTAGAGAGAGTTTTTAACTCGGTGGCCTCGTGGTACCCTTCGAAGAAGCTGCCATCACACATGCACGAGAATTTAAATGTTCCGAATAGGAACCCAGGTGACGGCCGCGTGTCGTCCAGCCGGAACTTTAGCCATTGATCATCGGATCATTGGATATTTTTTTCTTTCCTTAACACAACACCTTCAACTTTGAGGTTTCTTCTGGGCCGTTTCAACTTATTTCTTGCTCGCAACTGCTGGAGATACTCATTACTCTACCAAAACTCCTGTGCCAAATGCTGTATATATGCGTCGCCTCTTCTTACTACTGTCAAGGTCTTCTTTGTTAAACTCTCCGAGTAGAGGCAGCATAATCCTTGTCTTTCCTGTCACTAGAGTACTTGGCGATAAAGGCGGTCATAGCGTTAGTGAGTGTTTCCGCGGTCAAGGGTATGTTGTTGATTGAGGGCTCAGCTTCACACGGGAACGTCTTTAGTGATTGTTCGCCTAAAGGATTACTACATATGTTGCTTCATAGGACCGTTTCCAATGATTCTGATTTGCCTTTCCCAGACATCTCCGGCAGACACTGGTTTCTCAATCCAATCGATGCTGGCTTTAAGAGGGTCTGGCCTTATCTTCTGATTGTCCATTTCTTCTATAACCCTGTTAAGTTCGGTTTTCTCGCAAGTGAAATTTGTTCCTCTGTCGCAGCGGATTTCACTGATAGGTCCTCTTTTGACAGATAAATCGTCTCAGTGCTTGTATGAAAGAATCAGTTTAGAGGGAATTTTCTACCTCCGTATGCACTGTTGTGCTTGACATGTATGTGAACAATGCTCCGTATCTCTTCACGACAGATCTTCCTCGTTTAATGTGCCAAAAACCGAAGAAACTTATACAACAACAGGTAAATGGGGGTGCTGGCATCATGCGCGACTTCGTTAAGTCAGCCATCCTTTGTTTGCCCATGGTACCTCTGAGATAATGACAAGTAACACTCTGGAAGTCAGCCTGCCTTTTCACGTTCCACGTAATATAGCGTGAATCTTGCTGAATCTTGTGTGAATCTTGTGAATCACGTCATGGCGGAATTGAGGGTGCCCTTGTGTGACCTACAAGGAATCATTTAGATGCCCTTTTTCTGGTAATTAACTTTTCCTCTGTGAGAGAAAAAGTGAAGAAAGTCTTACGTTCACGGCCGCGAAACAGGATACTTTCACGAAGAAACGGCAAAGCAAAAACGGCTAACGAAATAGAATTGGCGACAAAAACAAGGTCACGTGGTCACTCTCGCCGTTCACGTTTCACGTAAACGCTTTGCTAAACCTCTCTATCGATTATCCGTGAGAGTGTGTAATATGCCCCATAGTTACAGTGCCCTTAGGGGTTTCTAGAAAAAACGCTTCATGTGTTGATGTACATGCAATAATCGGGGTCATGTATAACTGTCCTTCCTGTCCTGTTGTATGTACGGTGATCTGATTTCATTGAGGGGAGACTTGTGGTATTGATACATACATGTTATTAGAGCTTATGAGAGGGCACATTGGAGAAGATCCTGAACTTGTGAAGGTAACTGATGGGGCACCACTTACCACCACCATTGCCTTTCTGGATGCGACTGACGTAGACGCGGGCGAATTGAGGTTTGTACCCTTTGTAGTATTATCTGCTAGCAAACCAGGTACAATTGCTGTTGGGAAAATATCTGCCTACAGGGGTGAAGAAAATAATTCGTCTTTGTTCATTTCTTCATAAATCCGTTCTTCTACTTTTGTGTTTGCCACTCTTTTTTTAACCCCAATTTATCCGCCACCATGTTCAGCGCTTGCTTTTCTTTAAGCAAATCTGCCTCGTCTTCCAGAGCAGCAACACTGGTCTTTTAATTTCGATTTAGATGAAACTGAGGAGGAATTCGTGCGTTAAGAATCATAAGACTTCGTTGAGCAATTAGAACGATGGAAGAATTTAAGAGAGGGTGTCACGCAAAACCAATCATTCACCGGCAACTGTCAAAAAATTGAACTGGCTCATATTCTGGTATTAGATAGGCCTATAGGTAAAACAAAGCAAGACCTATGTAGTTTGTTGAAAAATTCTTTTGCTTTCGAGAAAATTAATAAAACTCAATTTACACAAGTAGCCTAATTTGACGGGTCGAATTTAGCCCAAATTTGGAGGCCTCGTTTGTACTTGTAAAAGAAGGGAAAAACTCACTTATTCCACAGAATTTTGGAACAATGTTTTCAATATATTTTCGCAAAAAAGTTGAATCACTATTTTAATTTGAAATAAAATACAGATTTTTCTATCTATTTACCTAAGTACCATGTGAAAGGTAGGGTAACTTCAAAAAAATATTTTTATATGTGGTAAGTGAAATAAACGTTTAATATTTGAAAGATGAGAAGTAGAAATGATATGCTTACCGCTTGTAGAGTTGTTTTTCTGGGGTTTTTGTGCTGCTTTGCATACGAGGGCTTTAAATTCATAGAAATTTGGCTCTTTGGCGAAGTCAGCGACATAAGAGAAAAAACCGACTTTGTTCATCATGTCCAGTTTGTGAGCTTCAGTGGTAGACATAAATGCTTGAATGCTACAAACAACGTCTTCAAAGTACTTGCAATGCCATAGAAGTTTTTTTTTTACTCCGAAGGCATTCATTTTGTAGAAATGAGTGGACATGGTTGTCACTGCGTGACTTATGTGTCACGCGATTGTTAGATTTATATTCCTATTATGCAAGTGGTTTGAGATTTTTTAAATGGAAAACTTGCTTGAATTTTTTTTTATGAAATCGAATAAGTACGAATGAGAGGTCTTGTGTTCAGATAAAATTCACTTTTTTTTGCTTGTTACTACTTATAGGCAATTAGCAATAAAACATGACATCACAGTTAATTTTATCTTATAAAGCTTAAATATTTTGAAGAATGGAAATGTGTTGCTCATTTGAATCTCTTGTTGTGGATGATTGTGGCTACAATCCAAAAGACTGAAAAGGAAATAGGCAAATAGTACCTTTGCTGTCGTGCGACAAGGAAATAGCAGGGCATTCGGCTCAGTTTTCATTTACTGGTGTGGTTAGCGAGTATGACTTGATATTGAGTACAGCAGCTGTTTCCCAATGACTCTACGTTGTTGATACATGGAAAATAGGCCCACTCCATCGTTCAAGACCTGGTCTTGGATGGAATCGAGGGGTAAATACTAAATGCAGAGTGCCAGCAAACACTTCCAGGCGTATCATGGAGTAGTCGAGCAATCTTCAATCTGTACCGCGTCAGGTCTGGTATCCATTTTTTCAGATCATTGAAACGTATTTTATCTACCATAATAGACAGCACTTGTCGCCTTTTGGATCTGTGATTGCTATTCTTGTAACATTCACAAAGAGCTTCAAGTAAAGTGTAGTCAAGACTGTCATCCACGTCTTTAAATTTTGATCTAGCTAAACAATCAAGTATTTCTTCAAATTGTTCGGGTGCTAGTTCATCGAGGCAGGTGGTGATCATAGGTCATCCTTTATTGGTATAGTAATGCTTAGTGCGCTCTGAGTCTTCATTCCACGGAAAGTACATGTGGAATGGGACTGACATCTTTTGACTCAAAATACATATTCAGTTTGTCTCTTAAGGACGACAAACGAACAACCAGAGACACGTGTACATATAATGCATAATCTTTGGTGTTTTCAAAGCAAAATTATTAAAATATGAAAAAATAGAACTGAAATGAACTGAATTAGAACATAAGTAAATAATAAACGACTAATTAAATTATTTTTATTTGAATTTGTACCATGACTTATGGTAATACAACTCTCCTCACCTGGCTGATACTAACTGCAGGGCGTGTCTACAAGGGCGGAGTCTACAGAATAAATACAACTTAGTGACGCAATTTTTAACTGTTGAAAAACACTCAAAATTGATTTTCGGTGCGGATGCCATCAAGAAGTACAACAATATTAAAACAGGAATTAAAGTCCATTGCAAGTAAATAGAATAATTACGAGAGTCCTCTTTCCTTAACCCTCTGTCTGCTTTGGGTAGCTTCTTCGCTTTATACCTGTAAATATTTGCTGGCACATTGCACTCAGATACAATGTACATATGAAGTTCATATATTTTGAACTGCGGTATTAGATGCGTATGATGCACGATCCTCGCAGTAGAATCGTACATCATACGATGCACGATCCTCTATACTGCGAGGATCGTGCATCATACGTACATTGCACTTAGTATTTACTCCTTGAGTCCATCCTAGACCAAGTCTTGAGCGATGAAGTGGGCATACTGTCCATGTATGAACATCGTTGGGTCGTTGGGTAACAGCTGCTGTACTCAATATCAAGTCATACTCACTAAACACACTAGTGAATGAAAAATGAGCCAAATGCCCTGCTATTTCCTTGTCACAAGACAGCAAAGGAACTATTTGTCTATCCCCTTTTCTGTATTTTGGATTGTAGCCACGGTCATCCACAACAAGAGATTCAAATGAGCAACACATTTCCATTGTTCAAGATATTTAAACTCAGCTGTCTACTTGTTGCGTTCTGTTTTATTTGATGAGATTAACTGTGACGTTACGTTTTATTGCTAATTGCCTATATGCAGTGACAAGTAAAAAGACATAAGAATTTTATCTGAACACAAAACCTCTTATTCGTACTTTTTCGATTTCATATAAAAATATTTATAACATAACCAAAGTAAAGCGCGCGCTCTGATTGGTCAATTTAGCGTCCCCCATTTGCCCATGGGTGTACGTTGCTGACGTGAGCAAATGCAAAGACTATTTTTCCGCGCGCGCTTGTTTTTTCTGGTCACGTAAGATTTGTTAAATAAAAGGGAACTCTTTAGCTACAATGTATCAATGTTATGTTATAAAACAAATGGTAAACACCACAGCGTACACTATTGAGTTATGGATGCACTTGGGAGGTTTGCTAAGCACTCAAGAAGCTAGAGTCGCTCTCGGCTATCGCCTCGAGCGACTCTTACGCTTCTTTCGTGCTTAGCAACCTCCCGCGTGCATCCATAACTCAATAGTGTACGCTGTGGTGTTTACCATTTGTTAATTTTAGGCAACAATTTAATGTGGAAGTAATATGACTGTTGTACGTCTTCATCTGGCACACAATCATTTCTTCTTTGAGTGAAAAAAGGATTATTTTGCTTCAGCGCAAGCACTTACAATGTATTCATGTGGTCTTATACTCAATATTTTCAGATTTAGCTCAAGAAAGGAAGTATTTGGTGGATTTTCCGCCATTTAAGACTCGCCCCTCTCGCTTCTGTGATGGAGTTTGTCACAGCTAATGATCAATGTAGGACAGAAGTAAACATACAAGGAATGGCTCTCAAGCGCTCTGTCTTCAAAAGATGGTCAGTGGCGGCTCCTCNTTTAATTTTAGATCTGAAAGCTTCAAAAGAAAGTTCAGTTTAACTATTTTCGTCTATAATTTGATGATCGGATGCTCTCCAAAGAATAGGGAAAATTATCCCAAAAAGCTTCTGTAATAGAGAAATAAGGAAACCTGGATTTAAATTTAACCTTCTGTTAGTGCAAGTCGTCCTTCAATTAACTGGACCCTGATTTATATTATTCTTTATTATAACATAACCAAAGTAAAGCGCGCGCTCTGATTGGTCAATTTAGCGTCCCCCATTTGCCCATGGGTGTACGCTGCTGACGTGAGCAAATGCAAAGACTATTTTTCCGCGCGCGCTTGTTTTTTCTGGTCACGTAAGATTTGTTAAATAAAAGGGAACTCTTTAGCTACAATGTATCAATGTTATGTTATAAAACAAATGGTAAACACCACACCGTACACTATTGAGTTATGGATGCACTTGGGAGGTTTGCTAAGCACTCACGAAGCTAGAGTCGCTCACGGCTATCGCCTCGAGCGACTCTTACGCTTCTTTCGTGCTTAGCAACCTCCCGCGTGCATCCATAACTCAATAGTGTACGCTATGGTGTTTACCATTTGTTAATTCCTGCGACTTTTCTATTTAAGAAATCTCAAACCACTTGCATGATAGGAATATAAATCTAACAATCGCGTGACACGTAAGTCACGTAGTGACAACCATGTCCACTCATTTCTACAAAATGAATGCTTTCGGAGAAAAAAAAAACTTTTATCGTATTGCAAGTACTTTGGAGACGTTGTTTGTAGCATTTAAGCAATTTTTATTACCACTAAAGCTCACAAACTGGAAATGATGAACAAAGTCGGTCATTTCTTTTATGTCGCCGCCTTCGCCGAGGAGCCAAATTTCTATTAATTTAAAGCCCTCGTAAGCGTAGCAGCACAAAACCCCACAAAAACAACTCTATAAACGGTAAGTTTATTATTCCTACTTCTCATCTTTCATATATCAAACGTTTATTTCACTTAGCACATATAAAAAGAATCTTTTGAAGCTACCACTCTTTTCACACGGCACTTCGGTAATTAAATAGATAGAAAAATCTGTATTTTATTTTAAATTGGAAAGTGATTCTACTTTTTTGTGAAAACATAGGGGAGAGATTCCTCAAAAATTCTGCGGAATAAGTAAGTATTTTACTGCTTTTACAAGTACAAACGAGGCCTCCGAAAACAGGCTAAATTCGACCTTCAAATGACGCTAATTATGCGTATTTTGAGTTTTATCAATTTTCTCGAACACAAAAGAATTTTTCAGCAAACTATATATGTCTTGGTTTGTTTTACCTAGGCCTATAGGTCTACCTAATACTAGAATATGAGCCAATTCGATTTTTTGACTGTTGCCGGTGATTTGTGAATTTGTCTGATTTTTACTGACCATCTCTTAACTCAAAAGATTGACGTTCCTTCACCTTAAGTTTAAACTCATCACCATCGTTTCGTTTCGTTTCGTTTTCCTAGAGCTTCAAAACGATTACTCTGGGCAACTTGTAATTTGGCAAGAAAATTGTTCAGTGCTCCTCGTTCAACTCCCACAAATTCACAATTGCCAAGATCGATAAGAAGTGGCTTCTTATCTGTGTAGTAACGATCGCACTCTTCTCCTTGCACCCAATCCTAACCCATTAGCACCACTGACCGTCAATTCCGTCTCCATATTCAGAAAACATTTACTTTATCTCAACCAAGGAGTTGATCTCTCGATGCTGTATCTTTTGGTACAGTGTTGAACGGTGATGTAACATGAAATTATTGCGTATCCATTGAAGACAATGGGAACGCGGTACTTGGAAATTCAACCCTTCAGAACAAGTCATAGACTCCTTGGGTACGTTTTCCATATCCGTAGTCAACCTTGTGAACCATAAATCCATTGCAAACTCACAAAAAAATTGACTAAGACACAGTCATCCGTGTAGATGCAGCGACAATCCGTAGAAAAACATCCGTGAGGTCAAGTTAAAACTATTGGCGCGAATACTGACAAACCGTGTCAAATCAAACCTTTTAATCAAAGAACCTTCACATGGGCTTCGAGAAAGCTTACGCGAAACGTTACAATGCATAACACAACATTAAGGTCGTAAATCCGTAAAAATGAACGATATGGACAGAAGTTTCAGCTTGGTGGCCTCGTGGCACCCTTCGAAGTTGCACCCAGCGAATGTGCATGCGACGGCCGCGCGTCGACCGCCCACGACCAAATATCTTAAATAACCCTTTGCTTACTGCCATGAACATGAATAGCTATTAGTTCTGCTAATATTGCGGCGATGATAAGTCTGAACAAAGTTTATTACACTTCCATATATTTTTCGTAAAAAGCAAGATTAGCCGCTTTTATGGACGGACCTAGACGTTAGACGTTCACTAACGTCTCTCATAGGGTAGATCTCTTTTACAAGATTAACCGCACTGCTTAAACCAATTCCCGCCTAACTTTTAAGTGTCAGGGCGCGTTTGCGCATGCAAGGTTACAAACATCAATTAAAATTCTGCATTTTGGCCATGAACTATGAAGTATTGTAATTCAAACTTATGAAATTAGTGGGCAAGGGATTCTTTCTAAGTCCAATATTTTTTTTTTGTCCTTATTTTGTTTTGGTTTATGTCTCTTTTTGCTTATGTCTTATTTGTGATTTGAATCCGAACCGGAATGACCTTCGTTTTTGTATGAATTAAATTTAACACTGCGCTCCATTCAGTTTAGTTATCTTTAGAACACTAACCTATACAATCCTGTTCACGTGTTGATCCTAGTTTTAGAGTGGTTGTTGTTCCTGGACAAGAGAAGCACACACGGCTTTCACTAAGGGGCTGAAACGATCGTCGATTGCACAACGTGCAAGGCTCCAATCCGTTTGGAGAAAAGGATCCAGGCGTACACGGAACTGCCGATATGCAGAAGAAAGAATCATTATTTTGATAATCAGTCAAGATGAAACTTTAAAAAAAATTAAGATGTATGTTTAATACAAATTCTTTCTAGATTCTCTTGGCTTTTGTATTTGGATACAAATGCATTGCATTTGACAGCCTTAAGAGAAAAAAAAGGTGAGTGCAAAATTAGAAATGCAAAGGCAAAGGTGGAATATGATCTATCAACAGTTGAGGAGAAATTTGCATGCATGCATGATAAGAGACATTGTCCTTTTGACGTATTTCTAACCCTTTTTGTGAGTCCACAGTTTGACTTTGACTGCAAATTTTTCTGGACTAAATGTTAGGCTAAGGGTAGATAACATTAGATTCTGGGAGCTTTTTACAATCTCGACGGTAGCACCGGTAATCTAAAGGAGCTGGAGCTCTCACTGTTTATAACTGGCTAAAAGCTTAACAGCAATGATATTATATTGGCCGAAGGTTTAAACATGCAAGACTTGAGTTGAATGGATAACTGTGCTACTGATTGCCATCAGTGTTATTCTGCTGCAAACTGTCTCTTAGATAGTCAACAACAAAAATCTGACTTTAAACAAATTAACCAAGCAGAATGCAAAATATATTAGATCCGATATTTACCAATGATTACTATGTCGACAGGAAACTAAAAGTAACTGCTTGAATAACTGACCATGATATGGTACTCTTCTATCTACTGATTTATACTTAAAGTCTTTATTTGAAGCAAAGTTGATGCGTACCATGAGTAGCCATAGGCTTAAGCTTCTTGAACCTTATTGTAAGAGAGACGTGTTCAAATTTTCTTTCTTCCTCAAGAACGGCGGGGGACTGGAATTAGCTCTTCCCTGATATGCCTGATTTTACGTCTCTTATCTAATTTAAGAATTATCTAAGTTCATCAGGGTCCAGTTGTTCGAAGGACGATTAGCACCAACCCAAGGTTAAACTTTAATCCACGTTTCCTTATTTCTCTATTCAAGAACCTTTTTGCGATAATTTTCCCTATTCTCTTTTATAGCATCCGATCATCGAATTGTGGACGAAAATAGTTCAACCGAACTTCCTTTTAAAACTTTCAGATCTGAAATGAAATTTCACACTAACCCTGGGTTATCTTAACCCAGCTTTGAACAACCCGGCCCAGCTTAATAAAAACCTTAAATTTGTATATCTAAGATTTAAATCTGTATCGTACTTATGGTGGCACGTGATTTTTACTTTTGCATTTTTTATGTAGTTGTTGTGTTTCCCAAACCCGCCTAATGGAGATATGATAATGAGACAATATGATTCCGATAATTTTTAAAGCAGATAAATGTTCCGCATTTCACTCAAATGAAGTTCAACATCCACGAATATTAATCAGATTCTCAATTTATTCGTGTTCTTCGATCCAATCACATTAGCAAGAACGCGATGTTCTCCTACGTCCACAATTATCACAAAGATAGTTACAGTTTTGACTTTTGATTCTAATATCTAAAACTTTGTTACTTTTACAAATTAGTTGCTGCGGTAAGACCGTTTCCTAATGCAAAGAAAGAAACGAGTTTGTAGAGGTTAAGGTACTACTCACGTAGTTATGACAACGACGGAGAAAAATATAATGATGAAGAAAGCTGAAAAGTTAAGTTGAAATACCTCCACATTGCAGGGAGCTGTTTGATCCAAGGGCAGTGGTCGTTTGGTTCACTCCACATTCTAAACATGATTTCTGTCCCTCCATGTCTTGATAATAGCCTTTATCGCAGGGAATACAAGGTGCTAATCCAGTGGGAGAATATGAACCGGCCTTGCATATTGCTTCAGATACAAAAACACAAAAGGACTTATAACAACGCCGGTTCCAGTTTAAACGGAAAACAGCAAGATTGTATTTTCTGAATGAAATCGCTTTATTATCTATGACTTTTATGAATGTGCCAGGATTCCTCTTTATTCATCTTGGGACATGCTTGATATTAAGCAAAATTATCCGACAGCCTTTCCTTTCAGTAAGGTAATCCTGTAATTATTTAAGAATTTTGTCTTAATCAAGCGGAGGATAACTGGTGATTTAAGTTTTTTGTGTTTACCATTTTCGAAATTCTTATTTCTCTGGCTTGAAGGGAAGTTAAACTAAGAAATGGGAAAAAAAGGAACCAGTGAAGTGATTTAGGACCATAAACCACAAAAACAGGTGAAGGTATGCAATGATGAATTTAGAGGTGATCATTTTGTTACCTCACGTGCAGACTTATTTTCTTCGGGTACTGCACAAATTTTTTACCTAGGCAATCAGACTTGTTGGCTGTTTTGGTGTTAGCTGTCGAGGTCCTTGGTGGACATGTGATACACGTTTCCTGAGCTTCCAATTCTTGATATGATCCAACGGGACAGTCTTTCCATGTTCCTGTATCCTTTGTGAAATATGTTCCAGCTATACAGTTCACTGCGAGCAAACGAAAAGCTCAAACAACGTTACCTACATATAATTCTTTTTATTCAGACCAAAGGAAAAGAAAGAACCTTGTCCTGCAGCTTTTTTTTTTTTTTTTTCGCTTCTTCCTATTATTTGACCTTCTGTTTTTTTAGTAATTTGGATATATCAACAAAGTTGAAATGACAAATTGGCCATCGTAACGATTACAAAAGCTGACGTTTCGAGCGTTAGCCATTCGTCGTAGCGAAACTGATTCGCCCCGACGAATGGCTAACGCTCGAAACGTCAGCTTTTGTACTCATTACGGTGGCCAATTTACCATTTCAACTTTGTCGATATATCCAAATTATTTCGTTACCCCCACCGACGCAGCCCCAAACAGTTTCTTTAGAAACTATCAGCCCTTATTCATCTGTTTCCTTAGGTCTATTTTGGTCCTGATTGGCAGGGTGACCCCTCTTAATCTAACGAGGGGCCTAACTTGTGGATAATTCATTAGAAACTTGAGTAAGAATTCGTTGCTGGGTCCAGATGCAATCTGTCGATGTATTTACGGCCAGATGCCCAACTGAGCTGCAGAACTGGTGCGTTAGGCCATAAACACGTTCATGTGTGACAAATGTCCTGCTTACTTCTCAATGGAGCAGAAGTGTATGGTGACTTGTTGGTGATAATGGATACTGTATTCTATGCAAATTCGAGTTTGATAAAAGCCAAAATATAAAGAGAAAAATAAAAAATTGAAACAAATTCAAAAACACTTTTTAAAGCAAAAAAAGAAAGGAAAACAAAACGAACAAACAAAGAAAGCACATTATTAAATCATACTTGTTTTTCTTTCTTTCAAACTTACAGCAAATGTTTTTCCTTAAAATCTGTCCTTTCTGACAAGATGCTGTGGGTTCTGAAATGCTGAAAGACTAGTTATCAGGAAGCAACATGGTTCCATTAATAGTCAAGGTAAGACTACCATTATTTATTGCTCTTTTAATCTCACTGCTAAGGTTTTTAGCGATTTGTATGCCTTCCTCCCCTATCAAAATCTCACTTTCTTTGGTATCACCAGTCCCCTTGATTGCATCCAGGTTCACTGTAGGGAAAGAATGTGACACAAACTTTGTTCAATAGCTTGAACAATCATAAGGGAGTGTAGATTATCATTCTATTATTAAAACAGATGGTTGGCTTCAGTTTTTTATTTGTTCTCCTAAGAATACTGGTAGTGGGTAATGAAAACAACTAGACGGTAACTGGGAAAACCTACAGAACAAGTCCCTATAGAGACACTGCTAACCAAATACTCCGGTTATTCTTAGTTAACATTAAAACTCCTTTAAATACGTCATAAGTCAGTTCCCCTGTTTTCAGTTCTCGTAGTTCCTCTAATTTGGCTATTACACTAGACATGAGCCTTTAATTTTAGGTTTTATACACTCTTAATCTACGCCCTACAATTGGAGGTACATAGAAACTCGAACAGGTCCATGGTCACAGGTTTAAATTGATTTCTTTTGCTACCACAGCATCATGGACCTACCGACGATTTCAAAAGAAATCTTAGTTAATGGAGTTGATCGTCGATTTCGAGTGGGATGATCCTCATCTGCTACAAAAGAAAAAGAAAAGGATGACAAGTAGAGCTTAGCATCTCAGAGTGTGTTTTTAAATAAACCATTTCCTTCATTCTTTTCCCCCCACCAGTCGAGAGCTCTTTTCAGCTTCATCCTCGAACTGTCAAGGAAAAGTGGATATCAGGATTCAGACAACCACAATTACAATTGTCATAATAATAATTATGAGAGTCATTACCGTCGCAATTATCATGATTATAATAATTTATTATCATTGTTTATAATTATTCACCATTTCTTCAAGAGGATAAAGGTCTATCACAACAAATCTCCACTAGCTGTAGTTTGGAGCGTACTCAAGTTATGATGTATTTAAATACGTATAAATTCAGCATTTCTGCTGGCATGGAATTTTACAAATGTTGATATGTTCCGAAAGGAGGATAACTTTTGAGGAAAATAAGGTCTTTGCTGCTTTCTACTCTAAAATTCGTCGAAATACTGCTCCAGTAGAAAATAAAGCTCAGAACGCATGTAGTTCCACCTTTCTGACGCAAAATGAATAATAAATAGATGAATGAATAAATATCTATACAAAAAAATTGTTTTCTTACACCTTCATACCTAACGCGCGGCGTCTTCTTGTGATGGTTGTTTCACCACATGTGACGTTAACATTGTCAGCCGTGCACTTGTCTCTAAGTGATGGATCTTGGCAGATCTTGTTAAAATATGATTCATTCAGTAACTTAATGAAGTTTTCCCTTATTTCTGCTTGAACTTCAGGCTTGTTACAGTCACCATAAAAGTAATGCAAGTCAGCGGCCATTCTGACATCGCCAGGGCGGTAGACCTCTGAAAAATATATGATCATATCAACTGTGTTTATGCCAACTTGATCATGAACTTTTTGGGCGGTGTACCGTAGGTTCGGAATCTATGGCCACTGAGGTTGAAACTGTTATCAAATCATGTTGACGCAAAGAAGTCTAATATAATCTGTGTTTCGTAAGACACCATTTCCTGATTTTTTTTTTTTTTTTTTTACTGGATTTGCTGCTAGAAATCTATTACTATACAAAGATGTGGGCAGGTTATCCCAAAAGCTTCACTTACAACTTAAATAATAGGTTTTGAGCATTATAATAATTAAATTTACAATTACTGGTTTTTTTTCCATATTCCTCCTGAAATGTATAACTGAGAATCACATGTACTTTCTCGTGTACTTTCTGTCATTGAGAGGACAATTCCAAAACGGCAAGATGAAAATTGAACGGAAAAATGTTCCAGGAACTCAAATTTTCAATGATCATAACATGTAATGACTATTTTGATCCCTTTGACTGTTAAAATCTGGATTTTCATGATAGTTAAATTGGTGGTGAAGTCCAAATAATTCGTACTTGTGCAGTCCGGTAAATAATTTGTTGGCTTCCATATTCCATCTGTTCCACAAACCCACATTTGTTTTTCTGGGAATGATTCTGAAAAATCTGTTCGATTATTACAAAAAGGCAAACAAAAGCGTCCAAACATCCAGTCATCACATGCTCTGGCTCCATTCTTTGGAGGGGTTAAATCGTCGCAGTCTTTTGCTAAATAATGGGAAAGAGCATATAATGACTTATGTACTGATAAGACAGAGTAATACACATATTCTTCTTAACAAGAGAGTAGATAGTTAAAAATTGAAAAAGTCTACGTAACATCAACAAAAGCAGTTACGACTAAAACATGAACAAGGATCCGAAAGAAATATTTGCGTGGCTCCAATACCTTCAAAACACAAGTCTGTCAATTTTCAAGCCTAGTCATTAAAAGGAAAATGATACTGTGCAAACCCTGTGGTTTCCATCTCCGCCACTCAAAAGTACATATTAAGATTTAGTACTTTAGGCGTTTTCAAATTCCAAGGCATTGAACGCTTGAAATTTGCCCTCAGATGTGCTGTAAATCAGGCCATGGATGCCACCATTTCGAGAACAACGAAACAATCTGACCTCACAAAAAAAGACCAATTGGTTATCAGATGAATGTTTTTTTTTAATAGCAACTCCTCGCTAGTTCATCTTCAACACATGAAAAAATTAGATGGATGAATAAATAACTAAAAATTAATAAAATTGAATAAATAAATAAGAGCAAAATGAACGCCTAAGTAAGATTCAAAATATTGCTGTCCAAACTCCATTTTTTTGCTCTAACATAACCATATTTGGGGCAACTCTCCAAAGGTAATTTGGATATATCAACAAAGTTGAAATGGTAAATTGGCCACCGTAACGATTAAATTATTTCGTTACCCCCACCGACGCAGCCCTAAACAGTTTCTTTAGAAACTATCTGCCTTTCTCCAAAGGTAAGGTTACCATTTGGAATCTCAAAACGAGAAAAGCGTCATCAATTTCTATACATCCTTTGATAAAACAGATAAAAAATCATGCTGTTTTCTGGAGCATACTTCTCCTCTATAAAAAACGATTGCTATCCATGATGTGTTCATATGACACCAAGAATCACCTCAAGGGTGAAAACTTAGCCGTTTTGGAATTCTCTACGACCATTCGCACCAAAGATACACATCCAAATTCTTCTTACGTTTCACTACAACTGTAAATTTGCAGAAGGCCGGATTATTGGACGGATTATTATCATAGGCAGCGCAGAAAATATTCCATGTTCCCCAATAAAACGTGGTTCCACTTTTGTGACTGCAACTTATCAGCAAGGGATTATTGCTGTTGTCTTTAAATTGTGGATCATTCCACGTTACCAATGTTTCTATGTTCGTGGCAATAATGTGTTGATCCGATGGACAATAAGCAACAACTGGGCCTTGATCATCTGCAGAAGAAAAAGAGCAGCCTAAACTTCAGGATTCGAATTATTTAGATATAAATTGAATGATGATAGTTAATCACAAGTATAAGATTTCCTTGAGCTTGTAATGCATTACGATAATACGTTATAGTTTTTCCGCTAACTCTTAGGGATTACCTCCTCATCTTAGCAATTTCTTTTTAATAGAAATGCTAAATTACTTACCAAATTAATTGTAACATTTTCTTCAATATTGACCACTTTTACGGCCTAATTTCACCGACAGAAAGAACACCATACTGACCCCTACAAACCCAGCTACCTTATTAAACGAAGTTTTATATTCTTACTAAAGAGCGACTTCCACAAGCAGTAAGTAATTATCCCTGATCGAGCCTACCACAGTCAAAATCGTTGCTCACCACTGCTACAATTTTACAGTTGTCTCCGAAGCTCCTTGAAGTCAGTATTCTTCCGCCGACGCACTCTTTTGGTTAAGCTTTCTTAACTCCCGGCAACAGCAACAACTGCTATGCGTTGACAAATTATTCGAGAACATTCTGGAAACTCTTTAATACAACTATTTTAGTAGTAACACGTCATAATTACTTGATCAAACTAATTGTTCCTGACTGAGTTCAATGTCAGTATGACTTGCCATTCTAGAAATGTCTAGATTCTTATTTTACAGTTATTATCCATAACACAGCCTGGTTCCTTAAGAGTCCAGATTTGCAGATTTACCTTGTAAAATAACTTGAAATGAACATTTTTGGCTATTCCCACTTGCGTCTGTTGTGGTGTAAACAACAGTTGTGGTCTCGTTGAAAATGTACGGTGGACTTATACCATGAGGATAAACAGTCATATTTGGTGGCAAACCGCTATTGTCTACAGCAACTGGCTCGGTCCAGTTAACTAATGTGGTTGAGTTTGCCCCAATGCTTGTACGAATATCTGCAGGGCACCTTATAAATACAGGTGGTTGCACGTCTGTTAAAAAAAAAGTGAAACAAAAAAACAGCATTTTTATTTTACTTAAAAGTAAATAATGAATTTAAAATTTCTCAATTAGCAGTTGATATCAAAATATACACTTGTCTGAGATTGGATTACTAAGTTGCCTTGGTGCGAACTTGAAAAAATTTTCCCTTCTTCGGGGATATGAAAACATTGGTGGGGATCAAAATTATTTGTCCTTAGGTCTATTAAAGTTGACTTTTTCATTATTAAAAGAAGAGTAGTGTGGAGAATTTTTCTGTTACGATTGTAGGAAACAAGAAACACTGACAAACTACCAGAGGAAAAACAATTGCTGAGATGGATAATTGAGTTCTTACCACGACATTCTAAAACCAAAGAATCGCTTTGGTTCCATTTCCCGTCATTATTGCAAATCATTCGAGTTGCGCCTCCATTGCCTTGGTAACCAGGCTTGCATCGAAACGTGCACACAGTTCCACTGACTGGCATTGACGTACACGTGTGTGGATAAATGTAACCATGCTCTGGTGCACTTTGAGATGTGCATCTCCGCACTGTAACAAAAGTTCAAAAGACTCCAATATCTCTGTCACTCAACTCTAAACCTATTTTAAATCAGTAAATTTCTAACAGAAAAAAAAGAGCATGACATTGATGTAAATACCTTTACAGACTGGAACCGTTCCGTTCCAGTACCCAGTGAGATGTCCGGGTTTGTGTAAACAGGATAGGACTTGTGAACCAAGCAAGTTATAACCCTCATCGCAACCCATTCTGCATGTGGATCCATATGTATTGTCACACTCTTCCTCAAAAAATCCATTTATCGGTGCCAATAGGGTTTGACAAAGCAAAACTGTAAAGGAAAAAAATCTTGTATGCTGCTTTAAAACTGTCTTTCGATCCGTCAATTAGTCAATAATTATTTTGGTTGAAGAGATGATAAGATATAGTATGCAACTTTATGGTAGCTTTAAATTATAAATCAATTATAGCGTTATACAGGAACTTTGATTAGGTCTCAGATTTGACTGTTAATCTTATTTTAATTTTTCAAGAGTACAATAATGTCATTACTACTATAAACGGTCAAAATGTCCACTTAAACTTAGCGGTAAAAAGCTAAATGAAATTTTTACCTTAATCATTAGACTATGAAAAGTTAATAACTGAGTTCGAGGCATGTTATGTGCATTGTTGCGCTCTAACTGGTAAGCGGCTGTCTGCGCCCGGTTTGAAATACTTAAATTTTCGGAAAGAACAGGAACAAGAATTAAATTTTTTATGAAATTATTTTTTTATCAAGCAGTTCACCCAAGTGCAAGCTCACCCTCAACTGTGACATGAAATTTGCAGATCTTATAATTTCCTGCTTCATCAGTGGCGTTGTACACAATACTATACGTCCCTTTGTAGTATACGTTCTGAACACCAACGGAGGTTACATCCGGTGTTTTCCCTGAGTTATCCGTGGCAACAACAGGCAACCAAGTAACTGACGTATAGTTTTTGCTCCTGTCTGCGTACTTTTTGATATCACTGGGACAAGTCGAACCGTAAGTTGGACTTTCAAAGTCTGCAAAAGGTTATGGGGTACTAAAATTACACCGAGACGTAAGCCAGAGAAAGTGGTCGTAGTATTTCAGGCTTGTTGAGGCAGAAATAAAGCATATGGATGCTACAGTAAAGGGGAAAATATATCAAATACCATAGTGTAATATAGCCCTTTATTACATGCTTTGGGTAACGTTGAGGCAGAAATCGTGGAAGTTTTCGCTATTAGTCGGCGAGATCAGAGCCAGACACTACACTCCTCTAATACTGAATGGTATTCAAAGATGGTGCAAAAATTATGGATCGACGTCTTCCCGAAATAACAAAAAGATACATTTCTTGAGGTATTTGAACATACAAGCACTCATCAGGAAGTATTTCATGGTTCCTTTGATATTTAAAGCTTCAAGAAATCATCGTCAAAACAATTTGTATAGAGTTTTTCTGGCAAAAGGAGTGAAATTCTCTTAAAGGTGGCCATTAAGCCACCTCGATTATACGTGCTTCCCCTAAACATGTCAGTGTAAACACGAATACGTCTCTCTTATTAAATCGAAAATGATTAAAGTTAAAGGAACAGAGTTATGAATTAACCTTCACAATTTACAGAGGTGTTCTTTGACCACTGCTCCTCGCTTAGACAGGTCGTTATCCGTTCCCCAGACAATTTGTAGCCGTCGTTACATTCGAAGCGACACGTAGTATCGTACTTAGGAGAGGCTTTGCAGGAATGTGGGGTGACTGCGCCATCCTCGGGATCTTGCAGGGATTTACATCGTGCATCTACAGGAGGGTAATGTGATAAAATAAGACATAGGGCAAGTTACATTGACCAATGCAATAAGCAAAGATAATAATAACAAGAGTAATAATAACAATGATCATTATTATTATAGCAATGAAAATAATAACTATTTACATAATAATCAAATATATTATAAGAAAAACAAGATAGAAGAAAACAATATAATGGCTCAGCTTTCAAAAAATGTGGCAAAAAACTAGGCTAAAAACTACTTGATTTATAAAAAACGTTAAGAAACATTGTATTAGGTATAAAAACATCGTATTAGGTATTGTTAAGATAATTCTTACTCTTTTCATCATTATTATTTAATCATTATTATCATTATTTACGACAAAAGCTCTCCTTAACCACCAAAGCGTAGCAAATGATTTTGAAATTTGTTGTTTCCTTTAGTAACGTGATTAAAATTACTATTTATTTTAGGTCACACCTATTTCCATGAGAGAGCCACACGAAATGATGCTCTTCTTACCTCGGCAATGCAGTAATTCTCCTGACCACGTGCCATTTGCTTGACAGATCCTTTCTTTTGACCCATTTATCGGCAAGTAACCAACAGCACAATAAAATAGACACTTGTCGCCAAATAGATTGATCTTAGTGCCACTTCCACAACCTGATTGTATAGTGTTGTTTGCAGAAATAAGAGGGGGACACTTGGCCACTAAAAAACAATGGGTAATAATAATAATAATAATATTTTTTAAATTTAAAAAATAAATAATCCTTTTATTAACAGCAATAAATATAATATCGATTTATAAAATAATAGGATCTTTCAAGAAGAAAACAAGAGTGGAGAAAACAAGATAATGGCTCAGTTTTCAAAAAAATATGACAAAAAGCTGAGTTTTGGGGTGTTTTTTTTCTCTCTTACTTCTGAACGCCGTTGAAGTCATGTAGCAGCAAACGTGTGGGAAACGATTTTCTCTGCTAATGGCACGGTTATTTTCACTGACGACTGATACCCACGATTCGCTTCATAATAATACAACTGATAATAATGATAATAATAATAATGGTGATAATAACAGTAATTATGATGATAATAACAGTGATAATTATAATGATGGTCATGATAACGATCATATCCATGTTTGTATAATAATTATAATAAGAATATTTTTGATACCCTGATGATAATAGTGACGACAGCTGATAGGCAAAAAATAAAAAGAGTGATGACAGCGATGATGACAATTAATAATTAATATTGACGATGATGTTCATGATAATAATGATAATTATAATGTTATAGATAAAGATATACATAATAGATTCATCCGTTAAAAGTGTGACAGCTACTTCATCGAAGAGGAGAATCAATCCACTTACATTCACAATTAGTCTCGTTTCCGCTCCAGTATCCCACAGATTCTATGGAGCCCTTCTCACAAATTCTGATAGCAGAACCTGTCATTATGTGACCAGCATTGCATTTGAAGTTGCATTGTGAGCCATACTGATCACTCTCACTACATTTCATGGTACCTCCGGGGGGAGCATACTGCTTGGGACATCTGAGAACTGAGTGAAAAGTCAGATGTCGAAATAAAGCAACAAGAAGACAAGAACTTTGAAAAACAAAAGCAACACTTCCGCTACCCATGAATAGTTGACGAAAAAACCTTTGAATTCTGTCACTGACTCTAGATAACTTAAATGGTATACGTTCCATGCGGCACTGAAGGTAGAAATTTTAAATGATCCTTGCTGTTTGAACGTGCAAGATGGAAGCAAGCTTTAGGTCTTTAGACATTTTTGCTCTTGCTATGAATTATTTTATGATGCATAGATCCATAAGTTATTTTCTGCACTGTAAGAAGGAGAATTGTGGAATTGTGGCCATAAATTACAAACTAGGAAAATATTAGATACGGCGAATATATGAAGTTCATATATTTTAAACTGCGGTTATAGATACGAATAATGCACGATCCTCGCAGTAGAGAGCGCTATTTATGCAGTAGCGAAAATCAGACCTGAAAAAAAAAAAAATCAGGCCTGTACGGGATTCGAACCACTGACCTCTGCGAATCCCGTACAGGCCTGATTTTCTTTTTCAGGTCTAATTTTCGCTATTGCATAAATAGCGCTCTCTACTGCGAGGATCGTGCATCATTCGTATCTATAACCGCAGTTCAAAATATATGAACTTCATATATTCATTGTATCTGATTTATCATCACGGGTTTATTACGAATCAACTTAACGGCCTGCTCCCAGTTGGCTTGTTAGCTCAATTGGTAGAGCGCTGCACTAGTATCGCAGGGGTCAGTGGTTCGAATCCCGTACAGGCTTGAATTTTTTTCAGGTCTGATTTTCGCTATTGCATAAATAGCGCTCTCTGCTGCGAGGATCGTGCATCATTCGTAGGAAAATATCATTCGAAAACAGTTATTCACAACTGTTTTGAACAATACAAGGATCCTCATAACACTGTACCAGCTACCGCTAGGTATCTCACCTGAAACATAGACTTTAAATATGCATTCAGCAATATTCCCTAAGTTGTCAGAAGCCAAATAACGGATGGTGTGTTCCCCAGCCAAAAAGATATCACCTGATTCTTTCCCAGAGTGAGTGATGTTAGGAGTTAAGCCTGAGTTGTCTTTAGCTGTCGGAAGAGGCCATGTAACTTGTGTGGACCTTTTGCCTCTATCTGCAGTCCTATGTATATCATTTGAACAGTTTGTAAATACTGGTTCAGAGACGTCTGTATCAAAAAAGAAAACATAGGATCTGCTTGAGTGAAGATGTCAAAATGGTGCCTCAGACCCCGACCTTTCTATAACACAGAATTTTTTGGACCGGCGTTTGAAAAGGAAGTTTATGTCCAAGAATGTAGATATCAGGGATTTGCTAGAGAAGGCGGACAAGGCACTCTACTAAAAAAAAAAAAAGATCGAATGACCCCGAATGCCCGTTTTTCCAATTTTTACCTAAGGAAAAGAACATGAGGTACAATCTTAGAAATACCTCAGTCTCTGTCCCTAGAATTCACACTGAAAGGTTTAAGAACGTTTTTAGTAATAGGATAATTTTTAAATATGACATGTAATAGTTTCCCTTGTGAGTTTATTTTGTAACTCAGGATATGTGATTTTATCTTAAGAAATAAAGATTATGTTATGTTCTGTTATGTTGTGTTAAAAGCCTTGAAAAACGAAAATACATGAAAACACAGCATACCACAAAAAGAAGACTTTCATTCAAAAGGTTTTTCCCTTATTGTTTTGTGATATATATGCTGCTCACAATCTAAGGGGAAAGACTACTCAAGAAATTCATTAAGCCCTAAATAATGCTCTAATCTGCCTTCTTTCAAACCTATGCATGAGGGATTTTCTAGTGGCCTCCAAATCTTGGATGGCTGGCAAGTCTTCAATCCAGGGCCTTGAAGTTGATATCCATTCTTGCAAGTAAAACGACAAACTGTCGCGTAAGGTATTTCAGAAGTTGAATTGGCACAAAACAATGGCTCAATCTCCAATCCTTCTGATTTGATAGTCAAAGGAGGAGGACAGGTGATTGCTGTAATGATAAGTCAAATAATGAGTTTAGATAAAAGCACAGTTATGAAATCACGCTTTCTGTGTATACCGGCACAAAGTTTCTCAACGTTTGCAAAGTATTTTCAAGTACAAGCAACAAGTATTAAGAATTTAGAAAAAATCATCAAATTTTGATATAGGGTTTAGCTCTTTCTTATCTATCTGTAAAAAAAAAAAAAAAAGAGAGAAAAAAAGAAAAATTCGAGAATTCAAAACTGCAATCCATTCATTCACACGGTGCTGGCGCTTGCACAAATCACTACTTGACTGAGTTTTATGAAGCGAATTTCGACTGTTGTTGTTGCTGTTTTTTTGTTTTATTTGTTTGTTTTGTTTTGTTTTGTTTTGTTTTTTTTATGAGAAGTGCGATTTGATCGGCTAATACGACATACCATCGTCCAGAGCATGTGTTTTAGAAAATCTATATATATATCAGCAGGTGGAAATATATATAATTTTATTCCTCATTTTCAGGATACTGGATCGAAGATTTTATCTAGGCAATAGGGATCTTTTTCCGTCTGTAATTATTCTCATCTAGACACTCGGAAGGTTAGGAAAATTCTAACCAGCCCCCCTTCGTGTCTAGATGAAGGTTTGTAAACACGGGGAAAAAAAAGGTCCCGTTTGTTTAAATAAAATATGCAATTTTGACATATGCTTGACTCTAAATCTGCGATCTTCAATGTTACCACCACTTCGAAACCCCAGTACATTACACAGCTGGATCTAACTTTTTAAGTAATGGAGACATCCTTTTTTGCGACTAATATTATAAGCCTGGGTAATGTTTTTTTTTAGTATTTTGTTTTCGTCATTTTCGGTGTACTTGTCTATCTGTTTGTTCATTGGTTTTTTTTTCCTGTCGAAATCAAGGGGGTTTGTTGGGACCAGTTCTGGTACAAGATTGATAGCTATCTCCACCTTTGTTGAAGAGAAACAAGCAAAAACACTAATACGACAGTAATCACAACAGGACAAACCAAACCAAAGAAAGGAAGAAAAAAGACAAAAGCAACAAATTCAAGCAAAGACAACTGGAGAGTAAATACCTTTACACTTAAGCTTGCTTCCTGTCCAAGTATTATCTCGTGCGCAGGTTCTGCGAAGTGATCCTCCCGCAGACTCGTATCCTGGCTTGCATTCAAAATAGCAGGTGGTGGCGCTGTGGTTAGAGGCCTTGCTACCACAGCCTCGACCTGTCTGTAAAACATTTTCAGGAGTTTCCAAAGGAGAACAACGAAATGCTGCAAAAAATGAGAATCATATAGCATTTTAAAAGCTTTAGGAGCCGTAAGTGGGTTATCGTGTCAATCAATCTATACGACAAATATTTTGTCAACCAATGATGCACATACCTTCACATTTGGTTTCATTTCCATTCCAATACGCCTCACTGGTGCCCTCTTTCATGGTGCATTTCCTTTCACTGGATCCCCTCATCTCATACCCTTTATTACATGAAAAGTGGCAGGTATCTCCATGCAGATTCCCGCAAGCATTGCCTTCATATTTTCCGTTAGGAGGTGGAAGGAGCACAGAGCAGGTAACAACTAACAAAAAAATAAGCTTTGTCTAAAATGTGCTTCAAACGGTGAAGTTGGTTAACATAAAGATAATCTTTACTTTTTAGGTTTGGGAATCTTTAGATTCTAGCCAAAACTGATCATCCACGTGGTGGCAAGTGTTCATGACTTTCACTGCACGATACGGAGATGTGCATAATGTAAAAAAATTTATAATGCAAAAAGCTATACACCTCTTTGACAATGAAATCAGTCAATGTCAAAACGTTGTACATTATTTTCGCTACCTTGCCTACAGGTTACAATTTCCTGAATGCAGCTAAGTGGGAAGCCATTTTGTTGCTCCTGGGTTACTTGCGACCGAGTGATACATATTTACCACTGATATCACTCTCCACGGGATAATTTTGATGTAGCTTCACATATTTGAAGCCTTCAGAGCCGAAGAATCAACAGAAAAGTGTAAAATGGGAACATCAGAAAAATTTTGTTACTCGTCAATATATTCATTTTTCATCTTATCATTTATCAGATCAACAGTTAATCTTTTGATCTTCCTATTTTCTAATTAGTGATATTTCATCTTTCATCATCATTTTTTTCATCTTTATTACATTATCAGTGTTATCAATTGCATTATGAGGATATTTTAACGCGCATGCTCAATTAACACCCTTGATTTCGAGATAAGAGATGATGGGTAGATGAGGTTTACTTCCGTTGCTTTTCCCTTTAGTTTTTTAATTATCAATTGTTATCAATTATTAATTTTTGTTTTGTTTTGTTGTTTTGTTTTGTTGTTTTGTTCTGTTTTTTTTTTTTTTTTTTTTTTTTGGTCGCGTCTCTTATCTAGTGTGGAATTTCCAAACACGAGGATTTTATAAGTATTCCCTAACGTCCTCTATACCTGAGGTATTCTCACCTTGGACAGTGACAGTGAACACGCAGCGCTTTATATTTCCTGCTGGATCCCTCGCCGTGTATGTCACGTAATGATGTCCTTCATAAAACATATGGGGAGATTTCACATTTGGCGGAGCTTCCAGTACAAGAACTCCGCTATTATCTTCAGCTTTGACTGAGTCCCATTTCACTGTAGCATATCTTTTTCCCAGGTCGTTGAAGACTGTTTGATCAGATGGACAGGTTTCACCGAATGAAGGAGGCTGAACGTCTTTTTAAAAAATTCGAAAAAAGCACAAGCTAAGAAACAGAAAAGTTTTCTAATCTCGATCTTAGCAGATTTACAAACTACTTGGAAACCTGGCCTTTTAAGTAAACGTATCTACATTGAAATATGCTGATCATAATTAATTATTCAGTAATGGTTCTATGTACAAAATATGCATCATAGAGTATATTAAAACAATACAATGAAAAGTGAAAATTCCACGATGGGCAGAACCATTGGCAATGTCTGTGCTCTCTTTTGCAACCTCTTTAAAAGCAAGCATACCTTTGCATCTTCCACCAACTGCATCATTCGTCCAGAACCCATCGTGACATATTGCTTGAGAATACTTGGTATATACGAACCCCTCGTCGCAACTGTACTGACATTGAGTTTTATGAGGGCTTTTTTTCTTACATTTTGATGAGACTTCGCCGTTCTCCGGTTTTATTAAAGGATTACAGTACTTCACTGCAAAATAAAAGAATGAGCTTTCCACATTTATTTCGAGTTTACTATATCTAATTAAGATGAATGACTGATGCATGGGTTACTTATTTAAAAAAAAAAGAACTTTGTAAGATGGGTAGGGAAAAGATAGGAACTGATAGGAAAACTAAATGTATCACGTGCACCTGTAGAGAAGTCAAGAAAGTGATACACATGGAAACTGCTCACTGTATAATGTATAAAATCTTGTGCATTAATAACTTTTGCATTCGTGGTCTTATGGGATGTATCAGCCAAGATGAATTCGATCATATCTAAACTTTCGATAGGTTTTAGAGATCAAAGCCATAGAAAAAGGCAAATCGTTCTTTGATTATTTTCACTCGTTTATTGGACTTGGAAATAAAAGTATGATCGCAAGTGCGTGTAAGATTAAACGATGCCAAGCCAAAGTTCGCATCCCTTTATATTCTGTTTGATTGTTTTTTTAGGATACCTTTAGAACAAACTTTAATGAATAATCCTTTGTCTTAGATCATGGTGTAGTAGCATGAAAGCTGGCATACCATTGGTGCAACCCTATAAAAGTATTCATGCATGCACGTAACTGCGAAGAAGGATAAATTGAATGGCATTAGAAAAAAAAGCTCAACATGCGATCTAATGGACTGCAAAGAGTCCCGTAGTCGCATAAGCCCATAATTTTGGCTATTGTTGTCAAAAACCGATCGAATATTGAAATGACAAATGCCCTAGGTGACACTTATGCTAACATTACCTCCGAGGACTACTATATACACAGACAAAAACCATAGACCTACTTTAAACTTTACGATATATATCATTTGCTGTCTGAGTCGTTTTGAGTTTCAGTAGTATTAGTACTAGCAGTAGTAGAAGTAGTAGTACTGGTGGGGTACTAGTATTAGTAGTAGTAGTAGTAGTAGTAGTAGTAGCAGTAGTAGTAGCAGTAGTAGTAGCAGTAGTAGCAGTAGTAGCAGTAGTAGTAGCAGTAGTAGCAGTAGTAGTAGCAGTAGTAGTTCTTCTAGTAGGCACACCGGCGTCTTTCATGATTTTTAGAATTTTGACACTTCACTCTGATTGGGCAGAAAAACACAAAGATTTTCTGGCACCAATCAGATGCCAGAACGACTGCGACCGTTTGGAACTAGTCTTTTAAAACAATCTCCCCAGTGGCTCTTCTGCCCTTAACTTGAAATCGACTCACAGCCCCTGGGTCTCCGAGGATGTAGTAGAAGAAGAAGTGAACTGAAGTAGTAGTAGTAGTAGTAGTAGTAGTAGTAGTAGTAGTAGTAGTAGTAGTAGTAGTAGTAGTAGTAGTAGTTGTAATAGTAGTAGTAGTGGTGGTAGTAGTAGTAGTAGTTGTTGTAATAGCAGTAGTAGTTGATCACGTGGGCTGCAAATAATCAAACTGTAGGTTACATCTAGTTACCTTTCTTTCACAACATAAACGAACATAGACCGTTCAGTTTTCAAGTGGATGCTTTATAGAGTCCTTATCGGATGTTGGGAGAATACTCGAGAGGCTACCAGTTCAGTTTTGTCACGGTATAGAGCCCGTAAAAATGTATTCTATTGCTTAATTTCGTAAATTTTCCTTTTTAAAACTAATTTACCTGCGCATGTTGCTTTATTTCCTGTCCATTTTCCGTTCTCACAGGTTCTTGTCTGTGATCCCTCCAGTTTATAGCCAACATTACATCCAAATACACAATTGTCACGGTGTGACGGTGAACTGCTTGAGCATTTCATAGTACCTTCAATTGGTTTTCTTAGAGAGGCACATTTCTTTGCTGAAACATGGGAAAGTGGTCAAGGGAAGTTAGTTCAGTGTTGTCATGCATAATGCCATGCATGGAAAAAAAGACTACGAATATATGTAGTTGGGAAATATTTCCAAAATTGAATTTTAAAGAGAAAGTTTAATTGGAGCGGGAATTAAATACTTTTTGCTGAAAAAAAAAAACTCATCTTCAAATCTAAATGTACGAAAATTGAATAACTTAGAGATTTCAACTCATGAGGTGCTGGAATCTTGCAGAACAATTTAAGAAATAGTTAGCGTGCAGCGTGCAGCGTGCAACCATCGAGTTATTGCACGAGGGAGGTTGCTAAGCACGAAAGAGGCGTAAGAGTCGCACGAGGCTGACACAGCAACAATTTTCTTGAATCATAGCGATGAGATAGTTTACGTTTTTTCTGATCTCAGACTAACAAACAATTTGAAACTCCTCAGATAGCCTAAATATTGAACTGGCAACCAGCGAAAGTGCTGTAGGTAAAACTTCGTCTCAGTTGAGTCGGTTTCCCGGAAAATTGAAGACAAACTGCACATTTTGAATAGAGCAATCTTGGAAGAGTGGTGCTACGTTACTTGCAAACTGTGAAGGATTTAATTCTTGACGTGAATCATTGATCATTCGGACTGTGGATTGCACTGGTCTTCTCTGAGTGTCTTTGTTCAACCGGCCGATGAAGCTGCTACTCGCTTAACGGAAATTTCGAACTCTTAGCTAGAGGATCGTCAAAACAAATTGAGCTTGGAATTTAGCAACTCACCAGAAATATCTTCCTTATCTTCGGACAAACTGCAAGATATTTTTCATATTTCACGAGCAAAAAATATACAAAAAAACAGGAATTATGTTCTAAGTACATCGACGAAAAAAGTTATCGTAAAAAAAAAAAGCAAAACAAACTGACGTAAGCGTGCAACCCACGGGCAAATGGATAGAGCATATTAGCCAATCAGAGCGCACGACTTTGTAAAGCTATGTTTTAAAATGCATCAGGAATCACTTCTTTTGAGCAAACGAGAGTGAAACGCTTGTACGTAATTGGACGACATCCTTTCCATAAAACGTTCAAGAATATACCTCTTGGAATCTTACTACGTTGGCAAGTTCTTACTCTACCAGCGGAATTAAAGAAACTAATGGTCTTTTAATGATTTGTCGTGACTATTTACTATTAATTAATTTTCATCTATATGAATATTCACACTATTAAATATATGGTAAACAAATAATAGGCAATATATTGCTAACTGAATAAGTAGACAAATTGATTAATAACTCCTCGAAAATGAAAGACACTTACGCACACATAGGTCCCTATCACTCTCATGAAGCTCATAGCCAAAGATGCACTCGCAATAATAGGAACCTAGGGTGTTCACGCATTTACCATACTTGCACTTTGGATAATAAATGCGACATTCACGGCAGTCCGAATAATCTTTACTGTTTCCTTTGCAGTAATCCCCTCCGTTTCTTGGGCATGGATTGTCACATTTGCGATACCTTATGTGATAGCCATCATGGCATTCAGAACTCCATGAAGACCACGATCCCCAACCTCCATCTCTTGGCAAATTTGCTGAAATTAGTACAAAGCGCACCCTATGAGCTATGAGTCCTATTCATGTTTACGTTCGAATATCCCGAGAGATTCGCCCTCAATGTGCGAACGGGCGAATCACAATAAAATACAAATTTTAGTCGCCATTTGTCATTTAGTTTTAAAAAAAATAATAGATGGCAGGGGGGACCTCCAGAAACCACGGGGCTTATACGAGGGAGGCATCCTTGCTTAAAAAGAAAAAAAAAAAAAAAAAAAAAAAAAAAAAAAAAAAAGAACAGAAAAAGATATGTATATGTAAGCGATACTCTATCATTTGGAAAATTTCACTGGCCAAAATACCAATCTCTTATTTTATTGAAATAGTCATTATACCTGTCAATTTAGTAAAAAACTTCTTTGACTTATTTTTAAAAGAAGCAAACGTTTTTAAATGCCTAATATCATTGAGTAAGGAATTCCAGAGTTTTGTTCCATGGAAAAAAAAAACAACGAAATACTTAACATGGGTTCGAGTTGGGGTGCATGTAATCTCTGTTTACTTAATTTATGACCTTTAACAATACTTACATACAACAACTGCAACAACTATAATTGCAGCTGCAATCCATCCGAAGACCATTTCTTAAGGAAAAGAAAGAAAGAAATCAGTTTTGCTATACAAAATTTATCTCTGGAACACTTATTTTATGTCTTTGTTTTGTCTTTGTTTTTCAAGTCTTCACTTCATGCTGCATCGAAGGAATCACGGCGTACCGCCTCATTGTTAAGCTTTGTTCTTTGCGTTTTATGGGAACATTGGGATCGTTTTTCTTTGAACGTGACCTCGGCCGCTGTAACAACGATGGAAGATATCCGAAAAAATGGGTCATCCATTCGCATGTTGAGAAGTTATCGCTCCACAAGCCAAAGCAATCGTTAATTGAAGAATGGTCTCGACAGGTTCATAAGGGAAGAAAGGATTTCTCAATGAGAAATTCAAGGGAAGGAAGACTTTTAATTCGCTGTTGGTACTCAACTGTAAGTATTGACCTCAACTCCTTGTCTGATGGATACCCCAACCAGACCCTAACATTGCGTTCACAAGCAGAAAAGACTCTCGCGACAAGCTCTCTTTTTCTAGCCAGTCACACTTAACCCTCTTCAACTTAGGTAATCTTTCAGTTCACCTAAGCTTTTCTGGAGGAAATTTTCGTGAAGATCTTCTGGATTTACTCTAGACAGATATTTAGGAACACACGTAGCCATGTTTCGAAATAAAAACAACACTGAAAGTACAAAAACTAAAACCAAAATTTGAAGTGCTACCACCATAAAGCCAGAAAAATTAAAGCTACATAATATCGATGGCCAAAAATGTGTATTCAAATTTCTCAACCAAAAGAAGTGATTTTTAAAATGCCATTCTCCCGCCATCATGGTGGCCTCGAGGTCACCTTCGAACAACATATAAATCTGCTCATAAAAAAAAGAGATAAAAAGCTAGGCCTACTCTGGGACCTTTAGTTGCCCTAAGCCGCCTAAAGTCGTCTTAAGTTTCTTTAAGTTTCCTTAAGTCACTATTGGTTACACAATGTTGTAAGAGTTCCACCCTAATCCCAATTGACCCCACTCACCCCTCTCTAATCATAAGGATCAGAGGAGGAGGCATGGTGGCTGAACGGTTAGTGCACTGTACTCGAAATAAGTCCTGTTTTGGCACCTAGTGTTGGAGCATTGCATTTTGTTCTCGGGCAAGATACTGTAAGCTAAAAGTGCCTCACCTTTTCCAGGTGTAAATATGGGTACTGGTTGGCAGTGGGGAGGTAACCCTGCAATGGACTATGAGTTTCATTATTGTTATTGTGAGGTGGGCAGTGGCTTCCATATACATAGAAACTCCATATGAAAATAGTCATGCACCTGTCTAGCCCCTATGCTGGCATGGGTAATTCCTACATGTAAACAATAATAATGTAGGAATATGACAATGTATACTCTCCCATTTTCTTACTAAAGCAGCTATCTGTTTCAACAAAATTTCTGTCCGTATTTCATGACAAAAGGGTTGATAAAAGAGTTGATAAAAGAGTTGACACTGTGTATTATCATCAGGATATAATAAATATTGAATCACAGAAAACCTACAGTACCAGATCATCAAGATAAAACAATAGGAAGGTATTCTGGAAAAAGGCTCAATTCTTGTCACTCACTTATAGCTTGAGCATTATAAATAACATTATCAAAGGTCAACTAAACTTAACTGAAGCTAAATTTCATACACTTAACTTACCCAGAGTAAAAGAATGACAATAGCAGGCCATTTCTCCAGCATAAGCCCATTAATCTGTACTAGCTACTTTCCACGTTATTCGACCAACTGAAAACATTTGGACTTTGTAGCTCGACGAACCTACTAAGGGTGTAACTATTTATCTATCTTGAGAATTTGATTGTCTTTTTGTACATTTCGTATTCGTCAGTTCGATGATAAACATACATTAACCACTTCTAAGCCAAGAGAAGCCTTTTACGGCAAACATGGCCGCCAGAAACATTTGATCACGTGACTTAAGTTTTGTCCAGTGACAAAAGTGCACGTGAGAACAATACGCACGCGACCTTGCTGAAAAGTTTACAGAGAAATAGTTAATTTATCTGTGCAAAAAAAAAAAAAATCATCAAAAAGCTCTAAAAAATTTGACTCTGAAAGTTTAACTGGTCGACCACTTCAATGAAATATACGTACTTGGCGAGAGAAACCCCATAGTGTTGTCCCGCTCCTAACTTAGAAGCATGGAAACTAGTTAGCGGCGAAAAGGTTGCAAGGAGAATTAAAATGGCGGAGGCTTTAGAGCAAGCTTTCAGCTTGGAGAATTTCGTCGTGACTCGTTAGTTTCTGGACAGTTGTGAGGTAACAATGAATGGTTTAAGCCCGTAACCCTTCCACCAGGCTAAAAATAGAACTTGAATGCTTGGAAGGTCCTGCTGATCCGATCGTCAGTGGAGAAAGACCTTAGCATATTGTTCTCACTATGGTGTTGGAGTATTTTATATAACTGAGGCAGGAGAACAACAAATTGCTTGGGTCCCTGAAAAGGACCGACCAATTTTCGATGCTGTTGGAAAGGAATGCGAGTTGGTAAACTTTCATGCCAAAATTGACAGAGCAGGTGGCAAAAATATGGGAGACAAGTTTACCAATATAATATTTTTTTATAATTTGTGAGGTTTTGTGAAATTATTAAATAATCAAGCTATTTTTAATTAATTATGTGGAATATTTATCGATAGTTTTATGTCTCTTTTCTTAAATTAAGAATCTGTGCCTTTATGTGTATATTTTTGATAGGTTTGTTTTATGTTGGTCAGATAACCCATGATGTTTTCCTGGGTATTTATTCACTAGCTTTGACTGTATAATTTGACAATAGCTGTTGTGGTAATTCTGTCTAGTTATTTTTAGCTAAATTGGTTTGAAATCATAGTATAGAAGGTCTAGCTCAGGCTTCTGCAGCAGTGGAAGGACAAGCGCACACTTCCAGTCATCAGTGAATAGCCCAAACTCAAGTGATAAATTGAGCATTTTCGTTATGATCGGTAAAAGAACGTCGATGCAATATATCACTAGGGATGCTGGCATAGGGTATAGAGTGCAGCTTTTATTTGTACTGCTGTTGATGAGCTTGCGAACCTTCTCTTCCGTAAGGGGGCTAAATTTGCTGCGGGAGGGAGGAGATACTGGGGCGTAGTCGTCGGGGAGTGCTGGTAGCCCTTGCGCCATGTTATCGAGACTGCAACCAGTGGTCTCGATTTTCTGAATAATAGCGATTTTCCCTGAATAAAGTTAAGATATTGAGCGAAGGTGCCAAAGCGCGTCTAATAATTACAAAATAATATTTTGCTCGTTGCTACGCAACGAGTCTTTGTTTGACCCCCAAACAATATGACCGCTAAGAAACGTTGAAGGATCTATTAATCCGACCCTTAGGGTGGAAAATATCATAGGCCTCTGATCATCGCTGTCCAACTTTGCTCAGACTTATGCTTATCAAAAACTTTTTTATTTTTTCCAAACTTTTAAAATAGATTGAAGACGTTGATATTTTTTTCTAAGAGCTTTTCGGAGCATCAATGTCATAACTATATTCGACCTACACAACGTAAAAGTTCATGTTTTAATTTGCGTCTGCTGATGCATGTTTGTTTTTCTCGAGTGGTCCATGTTATGAAACAGAAACATATTGAGCTTAGACAAATTTTTTTTGTCATTTTAGAAATTACGGCATATTCTGATACAGTAGTGTAACTCCGGACAGGCTCAATTCCTCTTCAACTCAATCTTATAACCAACTAACTTTTCATGGGCGACGCGACTAAATGACACCATACGTAAAGAGCCTAAGCTTGAACACTCATTCAAGTTGTATGCCATCTTCTAAACATCAACCCCATTCATAGGTCAAAAAGACATTTTAAAAATATTCATGAGTTAATGGTTGATACACTGAGTCATAATTAATGTTGATCAACGTCATTCCATAACATAATAGGGAGCTTTAGCAACGGCGACGGCGACGGCAGCGAGAACGGCAGAAAACAATAGGCTTATTGAGCAAAAACAATCGCCCTGCACGTGTGTTTAACAATTTGGTACATTTCTTTACCGCTCTCGGCAAAACAACAACGTGAAATAACCAAACTTTAGGTTTTCTCGAGAACGTGAGCGCATGAAGTTTAATTTTTCTTTCTTTCTTCTTACTTTAACGCCCTTCGTAGTGATATAGTCCCTGAATAGTTCACCAGCATTTTCCAAGTGAAACACATCGGAATAACCTCGAAAGAGTTACAAAAACGAAAAGTTACAAAAACGAAAAGTTAGATGTCGACACGACGTTTTCGTTGCCGTCGCCGTCGTCTTTGCTAAAGTTCCCTAATGACACCCACAAGACGCTTTTAAAAATAGATTAGATGATTTGAAATTTTAGTTTTTCCAATAGCTTTCTGAGCATCAATCTCATAATTATATTTGACTATCACAGCATAAAAATTCTCAAAACCTATGTGAATACAAAATAAAGAGATAAAAAACGAAAAAGAAGTATCACTGAAGCTCTTTATTAACAATAGAGCTGGAGCTAAAAAAAAAATTCTCTTCTCCTTTGTTTTTCTGTCTTTGTTGACTGCCATGGCAACTTTACTTACGAAAATTGCTAAAACGAAGCCAACTTCACACGACGTTTTTTCTTCCTGGTTGAGCTCTATTGTCTCCACACGCGCCCATAGATTTAGATGATCTGTTAATCCATTTGTCAACCAAAGTAGCCCAGAGAACGATTTTAGTGTTGGGCATATGCTGTAAATATGCCAATTTTGGATAATTAAGGAAACATCGTTACATTTGTTTGAAGAATCTGCTGAAAACCTCCCTCAACATGAATAGGAAGCAATAAGATAATTGCTTCCTAAATGTGGTTAACGTTCTTAGCCTTGGTACGTATTAACAACAACTTTCGCTCTTTACAATAGGGAGCGAAGTCAAAGGCTTGATGAAATATCTAATTTATTTTGTTTACCCCACTGCCACGGTCATGATTCAATACCAAATTATTCCTAACGAGAAGTACTACAGGCATCATTCCTCATCGAAATTTTTCACTTGAAATTTAATGACATTACATAACTCTCGTTTAGTTTTTTCCGATGTGTAATACTAAGAGTCGAAAGAAGCTAATGAACAAACATTAAAAATATGATGGAAATATATTGGTGTGTGTTAGGAAGATTTCATTCACCCCCTAACTCATATAGCACACGGTTTTCTTATTTTTTTTCTTCTTACTATTATTATTATTAATATTATTATTATATAAGGTAGGGTTGTCAAGAATTCAGATCATTTTGAATTAGCAACACAAAAAATGAACAATCATTAATTCCTCTCGACGACTTCGGTATGTCCAAATGTGATTAGGCTGAGGCTTGTGTGCCAACTGTTTCAGCTCTGTCAGACGGGATGATTTCAAGAATGATGGAATCACAACAGAATACTCTCGTGCATCTATTGGTTTTCCTTTCTTTTTGTTTGCTGTTTGTGCTGAAACGGGGTTAACCTATGCCTCTGATCGGTGATTTTGCTTAGCCAAACTTAAAAACACTTTCTTTCCTATTTATGGTGTAAACTTTATTAATGATCCCGACTCCTCTGGAAAAAAGTATCATAGGCCGCTGCTTTATTAATGTTGTCCTACCTTTCTCAACCTGATCGCGGCAAGCATTTGTTTTTCATAGTTCGATGGTTTTCAGCACGGAAGGTAAATAGTTCAGTTTCTTTGTTTACTGCCAACTTTATCTAAAGGAAATTGCTAAAACGAAGCCAATTTCTCACGACCTTTCTTTCTTCCAATTTAGCTCTTTTGTCTTTACAAGCATTCATGGATTAAGATAATCTGCGATTCTAATCCTCGACCAAAGAAGCCCAATGAAAAAAATTGGATTTTCACCAAGGAGATCCATTTGAGTGTTCTGGATATGTTATATATAGATATGCCATGTCTGGATAATTAATGCACAATATTGCATTTAATTTGTTTTCATGAATATTCTTGAAAATTTCCTCAACATGGATACATGTAGGAAGCAATAAGGTAGAAAAAGCTGCCTTAAAGCAAAATTTACGGATTTTCTTTACCAATTTGCTTTGTCATTTCTCACGATCATCAAGAAGATAAAAAATCAAAGATGCAATGGGTGGTGTATATCTAACTCTATGCCATGAGATCCGTGCTGGACACTTGTTCCTCAGTGTCATATGTTCTCTATATTTTTATTCCTTTATTTCTAAATGTTGCTTCCTAAATGTGCTTAACGTTCTTCGCCTTGGCACGTGTTTAAAAGCAACTTCTGCTTTTTACAATGAGGAGCGAAGTAAAAATGCCTATCGATTGATGAATTATCTAATTTACTTTGTTTACCCCACTGCCATGGTCACGGTTCAAAACCAAATTATTCCTAACGAAAAGTACTACAGGCATCATTCCTCATCGAAATTTTTCACTTTGGAATTTAATGACATTGCACAGCTTTCTGTTCAGTTTTTTCAATATGTTATACTAAGAAGGAAGCCAATGAACGAACATTACAGAAATTATGCAAATATATTGGTGTGTGTAAAAGGAAGATTTCATTTACCCCATAACATAGAGCATACAAGTTATTCTTTTTCTTATTATTTAAGTTCGGGTTTTCCAGAATTCAGATCATTTTCAATTACCAACTTTAAAAATAAACGATCATTCATACCTCTCAACGAATTCGGTATGTCCAAACGTAATTAGGTTGAGGCTTGTGGGCCAACTGTTTCAGCTCTGTCAGACGGGATAATTTTAAGAGTGATGGAATCACAACTGAATGAATTCGAACATCGGTTGGTTTTCCTTTCCTTTTGTTTGCTTTTTGTGCTGAGACGCATTTAATCTACGCCACACTTTTCCTATCCTTTTGTTTGCTGTTTGTGCTGAGACGCATTTAATCTATGCCACAGGTCATTTCTGGTCATTTGCCAATCCTCTCTTAATTGCACCAAATCCGAACGGGAAAAAGCATCGTCGGCCTTTGAAGATAGCTGTTTAAGACGCCTTGTACAGCCTCATTGTGGTAAGCATTTGCTTTAATCATTCCAAGTTTGACAGTACGGACGGACTTAGATTGGGTTATTTAAACCGAAAAACGCAGAATAATGATTATTATTAGCTATAGTTCATCTGTTTAAGTGGCTTTAGGAATGAGCTCAATTTTATGTTTTTGTTCTCTGACGTTTCCTATAGTGTTTTCGTTTTTTCGTTCCATCTTGTGCCGTTAGTGCTGAAAAGGGGTTAAAATATGCCACAAGTCAGTGATTTTGTTTTACTACAATAGAAAACTTGTTCTGTTTATCGAGTAAGCTGTACTAATTACCCCGACTCTTGGGCGCAAAACATCATCGAGCTTTGATGAAAGCTATCCAACACACCTTGCTGAACGAAATCAAGAATGGTAAGCATTTGGTTGAATCCCTCTAAGGTTATCAGCAAGGATGTAAAAATTTCGTCTGCAGTTAGTGTTATTTAGACCAGACCCTCAGTATAATGATTATCATCATAGAATCAAAATGGCACACACTTCCAAAATATGTAAATAGGAAGCTATATTTCATCTTAAAGCTGATAAAATTTAAAACGCGGGAATCATTAGTTAGATATTTCGTATGATGGCAAGTGCGCTTAACGCAAATTCAACGATGTTTGATAAATCAAATCAACATCCTTCGCGTTTGAATGCACAACCAATTAGAATGCATAGCGTCGTAAGCAGTCAGTGGACACAAAGGCGAAGGAGAGTCTTCCAATATTCTCATTTATTGCAGCAGGAGAATTTTTTTGCAATATCCACACTGAAGAAAAAAGAGCTCACACATATGACTTGGCGGGTTGCTACTTTAGCCAGGTTTCGTAAAATATCCGTTAAATTCACATACCCTTAAAATGAAGTGATTGACGCAAACAGGTCTTTGATTATAACCCTAAAGTTTTACAAGCTCAACGCACCTTATAGTTGTTACCACGGTTATGCCGCCGATCAAGGAATTGCAAGCTTCCCACCCCAAATTATTCCTTTGAAATTCGCTGGTGATGTATTATTTCGCAGTCGTATCACAAATCGTAATGAGGAAAGTCAGCATCAAAATAGGTATTTTTTGAAAAAAATGGAGACAAAAAGACGTAGGGGAAGTAACCACCACTGCTAATCAGCATTATGTTATATCATAGTGAACTCCACAAGACGCTTTTAAGAAACCATTTGTTTTTCAAACTTTTAAAATCGACTAGACAAGTTGAAATCATAATTTTACACACAAGACGTGATCACAATTTTTTAGATCTAGGTCCATTTAGTTGCTTTTATATTTTCTTGATGCCATCCAATCTAGGAGATTAAGAGAAACGAAAGAAACTACCTACGCTAGAAACGCAGAAAAAAAAAATTATTACGAGAGAATACAATTTGTGAAAAAAAAAAATTTATATATATATATATATATATTGTCATGTTAGAATTCAACTTGTTTGGCCTTCACATATAAATCTTTGTCAGGGGTTACTGACCATCGTCAAGAGGTATCAAAGTTTCACTATAGCCTGTTTTAGCGTGGACCATGCCGCTAACTGTAAGCTTATCACAAATTTACTGAACAGCACAACATTCAGCAAGCAAGGGAAAAGAAAGAAACTGGGAGGACGGGAGGAGGGTGCCCCCTTTGTATGCTTGTATGGTATCTGCTCAGGAAAAACTAATGTTGCAGTTACAACTCCGTTACGAAATGTTTCCTGTCAAAAGTGAGTTTTTGGTCAGTATGCCTTGCGGGACTCCCCATTTGAGTTCAAACTAAATGTTTGCAATGAAAACACATTTTAAGAGGGTATCTACCCCCATCACCCACCTGCCTTTACACCCATGAAGGAAAAAAGGCCGCCGTCTTATGCCACTAAAGTCATTTCCAATTTCTTTCAGTGCCGCCCTCAGAATTCGATGACTGTGGATCTTATGTGGTGGATAAAATTATTTTCCGTGCTCCTCATAAAGAGGAGTACACAGATAAATGGAGGTAAATTTTACCATGTTACTTTTTTCAAAACAATGTATGCAAAATTTAAAATTGGCCATTGCTATCATACATGAGTCTATTCAAACCGTGTTAAGACGACAGCCTGTCTGGTGTCTTTGTCTTGTTTACATGTTCTTTCAAAGAAGTTTAACTCAAAATGAAACTGAAAGCATTATCTTTTTGAGTGTGCTGCAACCAAGGTTACGCCAAACCTTAAAGGTTGTTTCCAGAAAAAGTTCCAGGTATATCACCGTAAAAGCTACTAAAACGTAGAATTCAAAGACACAATTCGCTGAAAAGTCAGGCATTAAGGAAAGTGTGTAGTGCCAAATTGAAGAAATCTAAACCAGCCTCGTCCGTGTTTTATGTACAATCAAATGAAATGCATATTACCAATTAGAAGTTGGTGGGCAGTATTCCTGTTTATTGCCACGCAAATCTTCATCGAATTTTGCAAATGGAATATTGGCTAATCTTCGACACTTGAGAAGGCCGTAAAAGAGAAGTCATTACCGTTTAGTGACGCGGCGGAAAAACGCAACAACTGTTGACATTCAGTTTTTATTTAATATCTCACCAAATACTTACAGAAATAACACCTACAATATCTCAATTTAAAGCGTATAAAATAAGATTTTT